AATACCTGGTACAGTTTTATTTTAAATATAAAAGTTATATTAAAATTAATATAATAGTAAGTATGCTAAAGTAAGGTGTATTAACATGTATTAATTAATATAGATTAGTTTGTAACATTATTTTCAAATTAATTTAATACAGTTTTTAAATAATAACCTGTATTTCCAAGTGTATAGTCCTGAACGCAGTCCCGAAATACCCGTAGGAATGGTGGGGCCATACGTAGGGTCTCATTGATGACTGCATTCAAGTACTTCAAGTGAACCAAGTTTTTAAATAATAACCTGTATTTCCAAGTGTATAGTCCTGAACGCAGTCCCGAAATACCCGTAGGAATGGTGGGGCCATACGTAGGGTCTCATTGATGACTGCATTCAAGTACTTCAAGTGAACCAACTTTTCGTACGTAAACTCATCGCATGTTTTCAACTCTTCGTACAGTTTCTGTTGACTCTCCGGGTGTTGGGATAAGTAGTATATAGCGTGGGTTATGGAGGCACTGGTGGTATCGTAGCCGGCGATAAAAAACAGTATCCCCTGGGCTACCATCTCGTCGTAACTTAGTTTTCCGACAGACTTTTTAGTGAATTTTATTCCCGTTTCTTTGGACTCAGACTCCGGTTCCCCATCACTGATAGAGTCGTATCCGAAGTCTTTGTCCGACTTTTCCGAGTCTATCATCAATTGTATGAAATCTGTTTGTTTTGCTATTCATGAAAATTTTAAAAATTATTATATTTATAAAAGTACAGTAAAAGTAAGTGACTAGTCATAATACACTATGTATTTTTAAAATGTAGTTTCCTAACTTATTATTATTTTAAATTATATTTAAATACAGTTTATTCAAATACTATAAACCCGTAAATTTATTAATTTAGTTCAAGTTTTGTTAATAATATTTTCATTATTTACCTGATTTTGAGTATTTGTTAAACTTTTTCCGTTCGGTCAGTATCTGTTCCGTCAATTCATCGAAATATTGTAGAGCTTTGCGGTCAAAGGGTTCAGCCCTTAGTAGTCGCGCCAATCCCGGGGTTATAATCGACAACATTAACCCTACGCTAACATCTGTGGACAGTATTCGCTTCACATTCATAACCATTGGGTGATTGGGATTATCAATGGATGAGATGTTTATACCATAAGCACAGGCGCTGATCACATCCATGGCAAAAGCACCGACGTATTTGCGTATATCTACTGTTTCACCTAGGTTAATAACAATAAAACAACTTTAATAATAAAAAAAACAAAATTATTAACCTCTAACAAATTGTATATACGGTTTACAAATCCCCAATATAGAAATTATCATATTTTAAATTATAGTAAGTAATATTATTGAAGTTTTATACAGTTTTGAAAATGTTGTAAAGTTTCACAAAGGTTGCATTTTATATATTAAAATTATAAGTATACAAATAATAATCATCTGAATTATTTTAATAAATTAATTTTAAATAATGTATCTTTATTTTAAATAAATAATATAATTTAATATGTGTTTGAATAAAAAAAAAATGAAAATAGCTTAATACATGAAATTAAACACAAATTTTTAAAAGTCACTTCTATAATTAATTTCAAACCTCTAATTTTAAGTTATATTTTATAAACATAAACATCAATATAATTACCAGTTTTGGCGAATGGGGCCAAAGTGTGGACAAAGCGGTCGCCAATGGACTCGATGTGAGACAACATCGCCCGGAGTTTGCCCGACGAGAAAGCGGGCGACAGTATAGTGCGCACCCGTTTCCAGTCGGTATCCCCGGATATTTCTAGACATAATAATACTTTTCATGTATAGTATCGGAATAACACTTAATATCTATGAAAAGAATGATATTTTAATATTAGATTAATATCGCAAATGTGTTTGGCCAAGCTCATATTTGCATATTCATTTAGTCTGACACCAGCATTTACTATTGACTATTATCAGGGCACTATTATGATGACATCTAAGCATACTGTGATTTTAATTACGGTAATAATTATCTTAACAACTTTAATGAAACCGTAAAATTATATTAAGGCTACCTAGATACTATTTATCCAGTTTACGTTTTATTTTCATATTACACCAACAGAATAATTTTATGTTATTATATTAACCAATTAATATAGATTATATCTCGAGTAATTAATAACTCAAAATTAATTTGTAATTTTATCATTAACCACGAGTTTTTAAATACATAATATTTAAATTATTAAAACAATGCTAAACAATATCTGCACAAAGTAAAATATCTAAAATTATAATTAATTATTTTATATTATAATAAATAATTATATTTTAAATTATGTTATAACCAATTTTAAAATAAATAAACTGTAATATAATTGAATAATATGAAATAGACACTATTAGAAAGTTTGTTTTTATAAATATTAATTGGTTTCTGAGAAGGTCTTACAAATATGTCATACAAAGTATTATTTTTATATTATATTTTGTATGTTTAGTTTATAAAAAAAATTTGTTTAATAATAATGGTAGTATTACTTACCCTAAGCACGATCGGTGCAAACAGGGATTTTTGTGATTAACAGGGTTTTAATTTTAACTATTTTCAATGCTGTATTAAGTACAAATGTATATCAGATTGAAATGATACAATATTACCAGAAAATACCCTGAGTATGTTCAGTTCGTTCAGTGCAACTTTGTAGTGTATAAACTTAACTGTGTTTATGTCTATTTATACGTTTATATCGTATAAGCATTATACATCTACAATTAAAGTTTTAAATCAATCAAGTATATAAATAGGCGCTATAAACATTTTTATAACCTGTATAATGTTTATTAAACTAATAGCAAATCACAATTATATGTGAAACTATTTTAATAATATGGATTTAATAAACTTTGCCTTGATACTTACATTTATCACCACTGCTATTATATTGTAAGTTAAATTTATATTTATTATTATTAAAAATAATACAGTATATAAAAACTACTATGAAAACCTATTTATAAACTTGATAAATTATAACATTGGACACAACACTATTATAAATTTAATTTATAATAAAAAATGACCATCACGCTATATTTTATAAATTTTTAATTATAATAAAATAGTGACTTATGTAAGAATAACTAAATAATCAGTAATTTGCCGTTTTATAGATACCTACGGCACCGGTACACCTATTGGTCCCGGCAAGGAGTACCCGGTTTAAACTTCATTGACTTCGGAGGCTTTCTAAACAAACAACATGCGTTCACAATGAACAGGGTCAAAAAATATGGTCGTTTATATGGCTCGTACACCCTGTCCGGCAAAGTTATGGTTATTAACGAGCCTGACTTGCTCAGGGACATAATTGTCAAAGACTTTAACATATTCCCCGATCACCGCAAGTTCCATATGGGCTCATCCAAGTTGGGACAGTCGCTGTTTTTTATGGCCGGGGATACCGACTGGAAACGGGTGCGCACTATACTGTCGCCCGCTTTCTCGTCGGGCAAACTCCGGGCGATGTTGTCTCACATCGAGTCCATTGGCGACCGCTTTGTCCACACTTTGGCCCCATTTGCCAAAAGTGGTAATTATATTGATGTTTATGTTTATAAAATATATAAATTATATATTTTTAGTTTTAATTATTGCTAATTATATGTGTTTAAAAAGTTTAGTTTGTTTTATTTAATGCAATGTTACGCTATTTTATTCAAACATATATTAAATTATACCGTATTATAAAAGTAAAATAAGGAAACATTGGCTAAACTCAATTAATCAAAATAATACAGCTAATCGTTATTTGCATAGTAAAAATTTTAATAAATAAAATGCTACATTGGTACAACTATAAAAGTATAAATAACAGACATAATATATAAAACTGTATAAAATATTAATAATAACACTTAAAATTTATGAAAATTGTAATAATATATAATAATGGAGATAGTTTAAATCTCGTTTACTATTCCGTTGAAAAAATATATTTTTTGCTTATTAACCTAGGTGAAACAATAGATATACGCAAATACGTGGGCGCGTTTGCCATGGATGTGATCAGCGCCTGTGCCTATGGTATAAACATCTCATCCATCGATAATCATAATCACCCGATGGTTATGAATGTGAAGCGAATACTGGCCACAGATATCCGAATAGGACTCATGCTGTCGATCATAACCCCGGGTTTGGCGCGACTACTAAGGGCTGAGCCCTTTGACCCCAAAGCTCTACAATATTTCGATGAATTGACGGAACAGATACTGACTGAACGGAAAAAGTTTAACAAATACTCAAAATCAGGTAAATAATGAAAATATTATTAACTAAACATAAATTAATTAATAAATTTACGGGTTTATAACGAGAGTTTTAAAAGTATTTAATTTATTAACAATTTATTATTTTAATAAACTGTATTTAAATAAAATAAAATATAATTTAAAATAATAATAACTTAGGTAAATAGATTTTAAAAATACGGGTTGTATCGTATTGTTTGATTTTTAATGTACTTTTATAAATATAATAATTTTAAAATTTTCATGAATAGCAAAACAAACAGATTTCATACAATTGATGATAGACTCGGAAAAGTCGGACAAAGACTTGGGATATGACTCTATCAGTGATGGGGAACCGGAGTCTGAGTCCAAAGAAACGGGAATAAAACCCAGTAAAAAGTCTGTCGGAAAACTAAGTTACGATGAGATGGTAGCCCAAGGGATACTGTTTTTTATCGCCGGCTACGATACCACCAGTGCCTCCTTAACCCACGCTATATACTACTTATCCCAACACCCGGAGTGTCAGCAAAGACTTTATGAAGAGTTGAAAACATGCGATGAGTTTACGTACGAAAAGTTGGTTCACTTGAAGTACTTGAATGCAGTCATCAATGAGACCCTACGTATGGCCCCACCATTCCTACGGGTATTTCGGGACTGCGTTCAGGACTATACACTTGGAAATACAGGTTATTATTTAAAAACAGTATTAAATTTATTTGAACATAATGTTACAAACTAATCTATACTAAACATACAGTATTTATACACCTTACTTTAGCGTACTTACTATTATATTAATTTTAATATAACTTTTATTTTAAAACAAAAACAGGTATTAAAATACCGGCCGGGACTTCAATCGAGATCTACCCGTACGCCCTACACCGGGATCCCAAGTACTGGTCCCAACCCAATGACTTCATACCCGACCGGTGGTTTGAACCCATACACCATCCCTACGCATACCTACCTTTTGGTGGCGGACCCCGTATTTGTATCGGACAGAGATTTTCCATAAATGAGATGCAAATGTGTTTGGCCAAGCTCATATTTGCATATGAATTTAGTCTGGCCCCGGGATTTACTATTGACTATTATAAGGGCACTATTATGATGACACCTAAACAAGTGTTGTGTAACATTAAGCCTAGAAATTAAAATTAAATGTGTTTTTCACGTTTTGTTTTGTACAAATAATACAAATTTATAATTATTTTGATTGATAAATAAATTATTTAAATAATAATATGAGAATCATAAAAAAAATCATATACATTCTATAATTAAAATTTATTTTTTATATTTAAGGTAATATACTCAAGATAATAAGGAAAATGAATTATTGTACGTATTATAATAATAATAGTTTATACTATACACATTTACCGTATAAATTAGTTTATTAGTTTAATTTTTTATTAGCTCGTTAAAATAATGTTAGATTATCGTTGATAGTAATAAGCAATGTAAATGACCCTAAGCACGATCGGTGCAAACAGGGATTTTTGTTGTTAACAGGGTTTTATTGTTATACTAGTTGTTTTCAATGTTGTATTTGTGGTGTAGTACTAGTTTATAAGATTGCATTGATAATGTATTACACCAAATACCCTGAGTGTGTTTAGTTCGTTGAGTGCAATTTTGAATAATCTTAACTGTGTTTATATTTACATAGGTTTGTATAATCATGATACTTCTACTATAAAAGTTTAATATAAATCAAGTATATAAATAGCCGCTATGAAAACTCTAATGACATTATACAAAATATTTATAAAATCAATAGTGAACCAAAATATATGCGAAACTATTTTAATATGGATTTAATAAACTTTGCTTTAATACTTACATTTATCTTCACTGCTATTATATTGTAAGTTAAATATGATATTTTTATTATTATTATTAAATATAATATGTAAAAACAATTATCAACCTTTTTATAAACTTGAAAAATTTAACATTTAACGCAACATTATTATACTTTTAATTTAAAATACAAAACCTGAATATCAAGCTCTGTTTTATAAATTTATAATAATTAATAAAATGTAAACATAAGTAACTCAGATTATATTACTCAATTATAGATACCTACGACACCGGTACACCTACTGGTCTCGGCAAGGGGTACCCGGCGTAAGCTACATACAAATGGCAGGTTTTATAAAACCACTTCATGCGTTCACAATGAGCCAGATTAAAAAATACGGTCGTCTATACGGATACTACACTTTAAGCAACAAAGTCCTAGTTATCAATGAGCCCGACCTGATCAGGGACATAATTGTCAAGGACTTTAACACATTCCCCGATCACCGCAAGTTTCATATGGGCTCATCCAAGTTGGGACAG